AAAAATCAATAAATCCCATAACGTATCAATATTAGGCCTGGCTTCCTATCTCCGTTTGCTAGAGAGAAGTCTGGCTGTGGGCTCCAAGGGGTTAACGCGGCAGAAAAGGCTTTCCAATGAAGATTGATGAGGCAGATAAGGATTAGCAAAACCTGACAGACAAAATCAATGAATGATATATCAACTTTCCATCAGAAGATGATGCGAGATATATCAGCGACGCAGTCCGTCTTGCTATAGGGGCCTGCGGATCATGACAGATCAATGCTCCTGAGGGCTGTTCTACCTGTGACTGTCCCCTCTAATCTGCTTGAAGAAAGCTTTCCGAGGATAACATCACTGGAGACTATTGATGCTTCAAGAATTTTGCTATAACCATTTTGCCCCAGTCATGTTTAGAAATGCCACTAATATACTTAAAGTCAAACTATAATCAGGTTACAGACATCAAGTGTTTACAAATTATTAAAGCGGAGCTCCACCCAAAAGTGGAAGTTCCGCTTGTTTGCCTCCTTCCCCCTCCACTGCCATATTTGCCACCTTTTTTTGGGGGGGGCAGTGGGATACCTGGTATGACAGGTGCACGCTTCCACTACTGGCTCAGTTTGCCGCGTCAGCCAGAAGTTCGGGCCCCCTCCTTCCTCCCACAGTCTCCTGGGAATCTTCACAGGTCCTGCCGGACCAATCAGGATGCTCAGCGTGACTTATGCATGCACAGTGGGCACCCGGCTGTGAATTTTCAAGCTGTCACAGCCTGGTACCCACAGTTGAGATGCCAGCACCGGGGAGAGAAGAAGGAGAGAAGGGATGGCACTGGTGAGCACGTCGCTGGACCCTGGAACAGGTGAGTGTGTGTTTAATAAAAGTCATCAGCTACAGATTTGCAGCTGCTGACTTTTAATAAACACAAAAACAGCTGGAACTCTGCATTAGCCACCGTACATGACCTTTAAAACAAGACCTCATTGACATCTGTAGCTGCAGGCACCAAGGAGCAATTCATTCTCAAATTTCCCTGTGGAAGCACCTTCAAGTCATTCTAACAGCAACTCTGCTCCCCTTCCTAGCAGTAATTGAGCAGCTCAGTTAAGCCTTCTCTGCTCCCAGCAGTTATGCAGCAGCACAGCTTCTCTTGGTCCCATCCCAACAGTCACACCACAATACGGCTCCTTCTCAGCTCCCCCCTGCTCCTCTCCCAGCAGTTACTTAGGAGCACAGCTACCCTTGTTCCACTCCCTGCAGTCACCTTACAACACAACTCTCCTTGCTCCCTCTCCCAGAAATGACTCAGCAGATCAGATCTCCCTGCTTCCCCTCCCAGCAGTGACTCAGCAGCTCAGCTATCCCTGCTTCCCCTCCCAGCAGTGATTCAGCAGCTCAGCTCTACCCGCTTCCCTCCCAGCAGTGACTCAGCAGCTCAGCTCTCCCTGCTTCCCCTCCCAGCAGTGACTCAGCAACTCAGCTCTCCCTGCTTCCCTCCCAGCAGTGACTCAGCAGGTCAGCTCCCCTGTTTCCCTCCCAGCAGTTACTTAGGAGCACAGCTACCCTTGGTCCACTCCCTGCAGTCACCTTACAAACCCAACTCTCCTTGCTCCCTCCCTAGCAATGACTCAGCAGCTCAGCTCTCCCTGCTTCCCCTTCCAGCAGTGACTCAGCAGGTCAGCTCACCCTGCTTCCCTCCAAGCAGTTACCTAGCAGCACAGCTCCTCTTGGTCCACTCCCAGCAGTCACCTAATGTAACACCACCCTCTTAGGAGTTGCTGAAAGATTTGGGTCCCCCTATAGTCCTGCACAGCCAGGCCATCACGCATCTTCACACGAGATTACATCCAGAGTCAGAGACCAGTTCTTGTGCTTTGGTTTTGTTGTTTTATTTAGGGGATTTGAACTGGGATGGGGTTAGGGGTGTACTGGATGCCCAAGGGAACTGATGAATTGAGGACAACTTCCTGGAATGATTAACAAGCCTTCGCTGCAGCACAGTCTCTGTTGGAGAGCTAGCCAACATCTCCCAATCAGGGATGGACTGACCATTCAAGCACTCGGGCACTGCCCGAGGGCCCAGGGTAAGTATGGGGCCCCATGAAATGCCCCTGGTACCTTTTATAGGCTTTTTTGAGTGTGGGAAAGGACACAAGGGCCCCATGATCCCCTATTGCCCGGGGGCCCCATGAGTTGTCAGTCCTCCCCTGCTCCCAATGTACAACCCCAGACTGGGTGGACACCATATAATGGAGGTTTGGCAGCCAACCGGTGACCCCGTATAATATGTATTTTTATCAGTACTAATATCATGTTTATGTGCCTATAAAGTTCATGTTTAATATACTTCAATAATCATTTCCTGGGTGGAGGACATCTTGCATCATCTAGCCCTTTCCTCTTCGATATGACTGTCCCTGGTCCACCCCTTTCATTCATTGGATTTCAGTTTACAGAGGCTTAGCATCACATGTGGGTTTCATATGATGGTCTCATCCACCTATCAAGGCATTTTGATATTGAAAGAGACATGCTTCCTACTGACGATCAATAAAGGAGCATTCTTCTTCCCACTGTCCACCAATGTAAGGGACATTCTTCCCACTGATCACCAACGTAAGGGGCATTCTTCCCACTGATCACCAATGTAAGGGACATTCTTCCCACTGACCACCAATGTAGGGGACATTCTTCCCACTGGCCACCAATGTAAGGGTACATTCTTCCCACTGACCACCAATGTAAGGGACATTCTTCACCAATGTGACCATCAGTGTAAGGGACATTCTTCCCACAATGTAAGGGGCATTCTTCCACTGACCCCCCATGTAAGGGGACATTCTTCTCCCACTGATCACCAATGTAAGGGACATTCTTCCCCACTGACCACCAACATTCTGTAAAGGACATTCTTCCCACTGATCACCAATGTAAGGGCATTCTTCCCACTGATCACCAATGTAAGGGATTCATTCAATGTTCCCACTGACCCACCAATGTAAGGGGCATTCTTCCCACTGATCACCAATGTAAGGGACATTCTTCCCACTGATGAACAATTAAGGAGCATTCTTCCCACTGACCACCAACATAATGGACATTCTTCCCACTGGCCACCATTGGCCACCATATCTATAACTAGCCTCTTGCTGTTTGCAGTAGGGCTGAGGGCTTTTAAAAGGAGTAGAGAGACAGGGTGCCATCTTGTTTTTAGCTAGATATCTACAGCACCCATCTGGCCATTCCCACCAGCCGGCATGGCATAGAGAAACACAGAGACCTAGTAATGGCATCACTGGGTCAAAAATAAGGTATGAAATGAAAACAAAGTAAAGGAAAGACATATTAGCAGATTAAACTTCAAACCTAAATTTCTTTAAATTGTTCCCTGTAACAGCTGTAATCTAAGAACAGAGGATTGTTGCTTTGGACACCAAAGGTTGCGTGCCAACAGGCTCCAGCGGCGGAAATCCGTCCCCGCCTATAAGAAACGTTAAGTGGTGTTGTGTGTGCACAGCTTTGCATCCGCGGTGAATACCTGATCAGCAGGGAAGGTTTGGAATGATCAAATGATGAAACACCTTCGTCAATCAGCTCCGCATCTTACAAGCTTTCCTTCCATGCCGGCTCTGATCTCTTCTGAGGAGCCGGCCTTCTTCCCTGTGTTCAGGAAAACAACACACAAGCCCGCTCTCGGATGTTTTGGGGCCGGAATAATCCTTCCTTTCACATTGTAATTGAAAAAAAGTAAATCCGCTGGGCGCGGGAAGATTATGAAAAGATTCACAAGCTGTCAGTAGCTTTTTTTTTTTTTCTTTCTTTTCTTTTCTGTGTGATTTGAGTTGCCGGCGATGAGGACCAGATGGAGCAAGGCTGTGCAGGAGGAACAATCACACATACTATGCAAATAACCAGCCTTTAAAGTGAATTTTTTTTTTTTAATAAGGTGCAAAACGCGATGCTCGATCTCAGAACCTTTCATGGTATCTGCAACAAATACTTCTCCAATCAAAAACAGCGCTATAAGGCATGCTGCATTACAGTAGACCGACCCTCAAATGCGAAGCATTCGGGGCGAAGTAATAGCAACTTTTATAGAATTCCTTTGCCTAAGCTCCTATGCTACCCCATTGTCTATCTGGAGCCTAATAAAGCCTTATATACAGTATTAATTGTGTAAAATTCTAAGTGTAAAAGTGCAGTGTTTCAGAACTTTTCCAGGTACAGGGGCGGACTGACCATTTGGAAATTTGGGAACTGCCCGAGGGCCCGGGGTCAGTAGGGGGCCCCATGAGATGCCCCTGGTACCTTTTTCATAGGCTTTTTTGAGTTTGGGCAAGGACACAGGGGCCCCATGATCCTCTTTTGCCCAGGGCCCCATGAGTTGTCAGTCCGCCCCTGTCCAGGTATCTGCAGAAAATACTTCCCCAACCAAAAATAGGCTAGTTATAGATATGGCATTAAAGTGGACCTATCATCAAATGTGAGCCATGCAAGGCAAAGTAATAGCTACTCCTACAGACCACCCACCCTGCAGAAGAGAAATCCCTTGCCTCTTTGTCCATCATGAGCCTTATAAAATACTCAGTAGTGGTCAATTGTCAATTTGAGTGGTGTCCTGTGAATGCAGGAGGAAGGTGAAGCTCTTACTCAAGCCAGCTTCAAAGGACAATTGTCCCTTACAATGGTGGCCAGTGGGAAGAATGTCCATTATGTTGGTGGTCAGTGGGAAGAATGTTCCTTAATTTTTCATCAGTAGGAAGAATGTCCCTTACACTGATGGTCAGTGGGAAGAATGTACCTTCTGTTGGTGGCCAGTGGGAAGAATGTCCCCTACATTGGTGGTCAGTGGGAAGAATGCTCCTTAATTGATCATCAGTAGGAAGAATGTCTCTTTCATTGGTGGTCAGTGGGAAGAATGTCCCTTACGTTGGTGGTCAGTGAGAAGATTACTCTTTTTGTGATGGCTAGAGAATGGTCCTTGTATTGGTGATCAGTAGGAAGAAGACCTTACACTGATGGTCAGTGAGAAGAATGTCCTTTATGTTGGTGGACAGTGGGAAGAAGGTCCCCTACATTGGTGGTCAGTGGGAAGAATGTCCCCTACATTGGTGGTCAGTGGGAAGATTGCTCTTTAATTGATCATCAGTAGGAAGAATGCCCCTTACACTGATGGTCAGTGGGAAGAATGCCCCCTTACACCAGTGGGAAGAATGTCCCATATGTTGGTGGTCAGTGAGAAAATTGCTGTTTTTGTGTTGGCCAGAGAACGGTGTTTACATTTGTGGTCAGTGGGAAGAATGCTCCTTAATTGATCGTCAGTAATAAGAATGTCCCTTACACTGATGGTCAAAGAGAAGAATGCTTCTTAATTGATTGTCAGTAGAAAAAATTTCCCTTACACTGATGGTCAGTGGGAAGAATGTCCCTTACACTGATGGTTAGTGGAAAGAATGTCCCTTACACTGATAGTGGGAAAAATGTCCCTTACATTGATGGTCAGTGGGAAGAATGTCTCTTACGTTGGTTGCCAGTGAGAAGATTGCTCCTTTTGTGGTGGTCAGAGAATGGTCCTTACATTGGTGATCAGTGGGAAGAATGTCCCTTACACTGATGGCCAGTGGGAAGAATGTCCCTTACACTGATGGTTAGTGGGAAGAATGTCCCTTACATTGATGGTCAGTGGGAAGAATGTCCCTTACATTGATGGTCAGTGGGAAGAATGTCCCTTACGTTGGTTGCCAGTGAGAAGATTGCTCCTTGTGATAGTCAGAGAATGGTCCTTACATTTGAGGTCAGTGGGAAGAATGCTCCTTAATTGATCGTCAGTAATAAGAATGTCCCTTACACTGATGGTCAAAGAGAAGAATGCTTCTTAATTGACTGTCAGTAGAGAAAATGTCCCTTACATTGGTGATCAGTGGGAAGAATGTCCCTTACACTGATGGTCAGTGGGAAGAATGTCCCTTACATTGATGGTCAGTGGGAAGAATGTCCCTTACGTTGGTTGCCAGTGAGATGATTGCTCCTTTTGTGATGGTCAGAGAATGGTCCTTCCATTGGCGATCAGTGGGAAGAATGCTTCTTACATTGGTGGTTAGTGAGAAGAATGTCCATCTTACAAAAAGCTAAAACAATCATTGGTATCATGCTGCTGGCTCTGCCAAGTGGCACTGGACCTGGAACCATGCAGGCACCACCAAAAGGGTGGTCAATTAACCACAGCTCAAAAAAACTCTACCGACCTCTGGAGGAATCCTAGGGTTAAGAATTACTGTTTGAGAGAAAAAATAGCACTAGAAGGCATAAAATACTTGCCTTCACAGGAGAAAATGCTACTCACATCAAACCCTAGGCATTTGATAATGAAAAAGTGGAAAACTAATCTGAGCTCTGATCTTCTCCTTTCACACAGATCACTTGTCCCCAGATCTTCAGACATGTGGCCAGTACTGAAATTAGCCCCAAGCAGTGTTTCCTCCAGGAAAAGGTGAATATTTAAGCCGTTTTATTACACTTTAACCTACCTCAGTAAGGCTCTTAATATAGTTCAATGCTAACGTTCCAATATAAGTCCATTTTAATAGTAGCTAAAAAAGCAATAATGAACAGGAACAGAATTAAAGAGTAGCTTTGGGTCAAGTATATCATTTAAAGATGCTGTCAGCAGCTTCAGGAATAAGCACAGAAAAAATAAAATATTTTACATTCTTCAATTAGAAACTCATATAGTATATATTACTACTTTAAAAGCTTACATGCAGTGTTTCCATAAATTATTTTTTATTTACTTGCCTCTGACTAGTCAATTTCCTGACACACTCTCTTCTTGCCCATCATAGCCCACATGGCCCATTTGGCCACATTTTAAAGTACGCAAAATTCTGAAGCACCTCTGAAGTAAATGTCACTTACCATCAATGGGAAACCTGAGACCATGCACAAAACCTCCTTGATGAAATTGCCTTCAGAGACCCCTTTCACTTCAGAGGTCCCCCCATAATGTCAGAGTCCCTCCCCCATCCCATCAGCAGTGTTCTCCCATCATTGAATCCTCTTTCCACATCAGAAGTCCCCCTCCCATCAGAGGCCCCACTGTACATTAGGGTCCATCAGAGTCCTTTTCAAAACATCAGGGTTCCCACTATACATCAGTCCCCCCCCCCCTATATATCAGAGCCCTCTCTATACATCAGGGCCCCTTCTATACATCAGGGTACCCATATACATCAGAGCTTCTTCTATATATCAGGGTCACCCCTATACATCAGAGTCCCCTCTATACATTAGGGTCCCTGAGGAAGAGGCAAGTCCTCGAAACGTGTCAGCCTATTGGATGTCTACACTCCCTATTGCGGACTGTTGCGTGGTGTTGACCCAGCTGTTCTTTTATGATGTGCCTTGACTATATTGTCGTTTGTAAGTACAACACCTACTTTATTTCTTATTAAACATTTTTTATGGTAATGCACTAGGCCTGTGCGCCCTCTGTTTGTTCTTTCCTCATTCAGTATATTTGGATTCCCTCAGTCCATTTGAGGGCAGCAAGGTGTGCATGTTCCAGGACATTCCTTATGTGGTTGCAGCCTTCATCGAGTCCATCCCCAAGCGCAGGAGCATTTGTGTTTGCTGGTACCTAATAAAGTGGCCGGTAAGTGTATACCCTTATATGAAGACTGTTGTTGAAATGATTGGTCTGGTGACAGGGTCTCTTTAAGGAATGAAAACTGTCTGTATTGGCATTTACTATAATAAGGGGTTTCCTCCGGATACTCCGGTTTCCTCCCATACTCCAAAGACATGCTGGTAGGTTAATTGGCTCCTGTCTAAATTGTACTAGTTTCATCCCTGGTCATGTGGGATCTCCTGCATGGTGGGGGTTGGGGAAAGACCTGGTTACTTACCCTGTAAAATAATTGCTAAGTACAACTGAATAGATAGATAGATAGATAGATAGATAGATAGATAGATAGATAGATAGATAGATAATAAATAGATAGATAGATAGATAGATAGATAGATAGATAGATAGATAGATAGAGATATAGATAGA